GATCAAGCCTAATTAAAGGGGAATAGTTAATGTTAAAAATTTGAGTTTCTAAATAGGTTGTGAATTTACGGACGTTTAGTGGAATCGGAGGAAAATTCGGATTAGTTTTAAATCGCGTGAGGTGGCGGTGGGACCCACCCCACTTAAGTGACTTAAGCCACATGTGCTTGGCACTATTCATGCATCACTTTCCTCCCTTCTTCTTCATGAAACCCGCAGCCCCCTCCCCCAAAAACCCCATTTGCATTCAAATTTTCTTTTCACCATAACTTGATCATTTCTTAACCAAATCAAGTGATTTTTGTGTTGAAATTTGTTGGAAACAACCTTCTAAACACATTGGTACCACTCTTGAGCCTTGAAACCGTGTATTTGGGGAGATATTGGCCATTTACAGCCACGAAATTTTGGAGAAAAAATGGTTGTCCATGGAGCTTTTTGATCTTCCATTGCTTGGAGGAGTCTTGGGTTAGCTTCTAGCCTTTGTTGTGAGTATGTTTCCATCCCATTTACATGGTTTAATTGTGATTGAATTTTTGGAAACCTAAAGCTTGATTTGATGATGTGTTGTGTTAGAGAGCTCAATTTGAAAATGTGTATTAGATGATAATGTGTTAGAATGATGTATTAAAGCTAGAAATGCGATGAAATTTATTGATGAAAAATGTGAATTTTTAACTTAGAAAATTTTGAGGTTGTCATGACTTTGAGTTTTGAAAATGTGTTAGGATTGGATTGATGAGTTGTTGTATGATTGTATGTTGATATAATAGGATTGTATGAGGTGTGGAATGATTAAAGTTGTATGGAAATTCCTTGGAATGCCATAGGGTAAAATTCGATTCTTTTAAGAAAGATTGAAGAATTGATGTTGAAAAATGATTTGGATGATGATTTGAGTAGTTATATGGTGCTTAGATGGGTTGTGTTGTGCTTGGAGAGTGTTTGAATCAATGGAAAAAAATGAATTGTGTTAGAGACCTAAATGAGCCCAGAATGAAATATTTCGCAAAACGATGCGTAAATGTCGAAAAACGGAAAAACGATGATTGAACTAGCCTCTAAACAACCTAAGGGAGTGTTATAAAATGAGAAAGAAAATTTAGGAAAATAAATCTCAAATTTACACCTACATGGCCGAACCTCCAAGGGGAAAAGGGGTGATTTGGCGATTTTCGCGTTTTGATGTAATTCGACGCGAAAATGACGAACCGACACTTGAACTGGCCTATTGACAACCTAATGAGACGTAACAAAATGAGAAAGAAAATTTAGAAAAATAAATCTCACATTTACACTACAATGGCCGAACCATCAAGGGAGGATTTTTGTGTTTTTGCGTTTTGATACTATTTGACGAGTACTGATGGATGTACGTTATTGTATAGGTTGCCGTACGTCGACCTGAATCCCGAATCTTGAATCAGTGAGTTGCCCTTGGTCCGGGACCAAGTGGATTGAGGTAAGAAATTGGTTCATTGCATGTGTAATTATAAATTAACATGTATGGGTTGAACTGAGAGTGATTGGGAATGTCCTCTGTGTAGGCATTCCGCTGTGTACCGAGTTGAGGGATAAGCTGCTGCGGAGCTTGTGGAAACACGAATTAAGGTAACCTCTTGGTACTGGGGCTTGTTCCCCTTTTCTGTTCCACCTTGCCAGTTGATGGCAACGGTAGGAAGTGTGTATGAATAGTATAGAACACATGAGCATGCATGCATTATTGCTATGGGTACTGCGGTACCGAGTCTCTGGCCAGTAGACAGTTTTATTAGCCTTCGGGCATTTTCGGACTTCCGCTGGATAGGTCTCCAGGAGGGAGTTCCAGTTGACCGCGCGTCATGGTGTGTGATCCGGGTAGGAGCACACTAGGAATGTCTTTGGCGTTTTGGTTGGTTTGGGCATCATGGTTGTGGTTTCTGTGAACACACCTTGGATGATACCCATAGGCTTATATATGCCGAGGGCGTACGTGGAATTGGGGTTACCATCCCGTATCGTCGTATTTTGTTTTCTTTATATTCCCCATTCTCTAAATCCCTTGCTATATCCCGTTTTCAAAGTGGTTGTTGTATTCTATTGATATGCATCGAAGTGAACCATTGGGTGGAGTTTTCTCCAGAACCTCTTGGTTACTGAGATATATTCGTATATCTCACCCCGTCTCGGGGCAATTATTTCAGGAGATAGCAGTGGAGCAGGAGCGCTGGAGCGCTTCATATTTTGCATTTTGTTGGCCGTGTGGCCTAGGCTAGACTTAGGGCATGAACATGTCATTTGTATTTATTAGTAGCTTCATTAGCATTTTGTTCATGCCATTTTTCCTAAGTCTAGTAGTGATGTATTTGGTTATGTTGTCTTTTAAATTAAGTTGAAATTTTAGAAGAATGTAATTTGAAGTTTTAGTTTCAAGTTGTAAATTGTAAAGCCATATTGTAATAGTATTGATGCATGTCTAATTATGATGGAAGGGCCTTAGGCCTATTTTAGGTTATGATAATATGTATGATGGAAATATGCATGAAAAAGGTGTTAGTGATTGCAACTACTTGAGAATGACTAATATGGACTCTATGTTTAATAACTATAAACTGGATTGGGTTGTAAGTGCCCCAAGGCGTTGTTGGTCCTTGTGTGTGCCACCCATTGGATTATTAATGTATTATCATGTGTTTATTAGGTACATTTGAGGTTTAAATGATCTTTTACAAATTTGGGATTATTGGAAAAACAAAGGAAACTCTGGCGAATTTTCTGTAGAATTGGCAGATTTTAGGCGAACTTTGGGAGAGCATATCTCCCTCCATAGAGGTCCCCTAGGGACGTTCCATACGCCATTTTGAAGGTTGAGATGTCCTCTACCTTGTGTCAAAATTTGAGGAAATTCTGGGTTGATCTTCGGCCTGAAATAAATAGAGAAACGCGGACTGCCCATGTGCCCCTGCACCTGAGGCAGATTCTGGACCGGATTTGGGAAATTAATTCCCGCTTCGTTTCTCCGCCAAATTAAGCGTGTGATATATCAAGAGAGTGTGAATTAACTTTTTATGATTTAAAGTAATAGTGAAAAAAATTTACTCTCGTTTTTTTTAAATGAACTGCTGTGATTGCCCCTGCCATTGATCTTGCAGAGAGCCACATTGATCTTGCAGAAGCCACATTTTTTTTAAATGATTTGCAAAATCTTTATCTCAGCACTAGATCTTGCTTTTGTAGACAAAGGATATTTAGTCAACTTTTGAAGGATGGTCCTTGTTTGATATGTGCAAAGAAAAATTTCAACCTCACGTACCTAAATTCATTTCTGCCAAACTAGACTTTAGAACACTGCATTTAAACATAGATTCAGCAAACAATTGAAGTATAGAAAGTCAAAGACAGAAATAAATTCTTAGACGCTCTTTGTTTTGCTGATTCTTACAAAGATGTAACCATGCTAAAAATGGAAAGACAGACATGGCTTGGTACCATATCTGTAGGTGCCTAAAGATCCTATCAAAGTGACTTTCCTCTATTCTTAATTATCAGGTATCCAAACAGAAATTTAACTTACTAGAGTTGCAGTTGCAGACACAAGTAGTAGAAACATGCATCCCAAATTACTTCACTTGAAAGGAAAAAAGACACATTCATGTTCTTGTTTCATTATATTAAATTCACATCATAAATTGAAGACAGAGACACCTGCTTAAACATTGTGGCCATTCTGCCAACACTTAAATAGAAAATCTACTACTTTTAACCTCGATAATTGCATATATTATAGAAGACCGTAGATTTTTGAACTCTAGGGAAGTTTAAAGGAAGTAAACAAAGGTTTTTCAAATTAAACATAAAGATATATTGAAAAACTTACAAGTATAGTAGTTACCCAACCACCATTTTCTTTCTCTTGGTTCTTTGTCTCACATCTTATGGTGGTAGGTTCACTGAAATTCCATCATGGAGATCCATAAATATACCATCTCTAGAAAAAAAATTCAAAATTTTCACATAAAATCTATGATTTGAAGTTGACACTGGATCAAGTTAGCACATATAAAATCAAATATATTATAATGGAAATTGTAAATATAAATGTACCCTCCTCAGCAAAAACAAAGTAATAATTATGGCATGAGCCATAGCTAAGTGAATTGCATTGTATGTAAGAAAGGAATCTAATCTTCATGCAAAATTTTTATGATTACTCATGTAGACAACATTTAAAAGTCAATCTGCTATAATTTCCAATTATTAAGCATCAAATTCAATACATGCTAATCATAGTGTAATGGCTACTTGAGTTACTATAAATAATCATCATGCATTAACCCAGATTGATACATCACATTTTCTCCAAAGAAGGAACTTGGTGAAAATAAAGATTATGCTATTGATGTAGTACATATAGAGATTTAGCATTTCAGGGGGGTAAAATTTAGTTCACCCTTTAATTACTATTTACATATAGAAAAGAAACAATTCATGTTACGAATAAAATTTCATCTTTTTGCTTGGTAGAGGCTAGAGTGGTTGTCAGTTCTTGGCAACAAATGACTTGACTGTGTTCTGTCTTTCACTTTTACTAAGAATTTTACAACTAAAATATTGAACTCACAAGTAACTAATGATGATCACAAGTTCATGAGGAATGTTAGCAATACTCTTTGAAATTCTCTTTTCAGCACTCTATTATCATGTCAACTTCTATGATCACGGGTTCAATCCAAAAAACAATCTCTTTCTAAGTATATAGTAAAATACCAGTTCAACTCAAAAGTTTAAGCTGTGGGGTAAGGTTGCATTAATGATTTTATACTTCTCTAATATATACAAACAAGGATAAGATTGCATATAAGGATTTTCTTCGCCTCATCCTCATTAAGTTGAGGTTCAACGGGGAGTGATTTTTTATTTCGTACTCCTTATTCAAATTCATTGGCTCTAGTGACAGTTAATTCATATTTATTTATTTTTATTTTTTTTTGCAGATTTTGAATTTATATGATTTCACAATCATGATGCTTGGTATTATAATAATGACTGTGCTGGTATCTCCCTTGATCAATGCTATATACAAGCCAAAATTTCGATTTAAGCAATCACAGCTAAGAACTGTACAGAAGTTAAGGAGTGATGTAGTGCTTAGAGCTGTTGCTTGTGTCCACAATGCTCGCCAAGCCACCGCAATGACACGTGTCCTTGAAACAGTAAATGCCACAAGAATTTCACCTTTACATGTATTTGCACTTCACCTTGTTGAACTCACTAGACATGGCACTGCTCTTCTTGTAGCCCAAATGGAACATTCAAATTCAAATGCACATGGTGGAGAACAAAAACTCTATGAATCACAAGCAGAGTTTGAGAGCATAACCAATACATTTGACGAATTTGTAGAAGGATACAATGCTGTTAGATTTGAGACATCAAGTGTTGTGTCAACTTATGAAACTATCCATGAAGATATATACAATGTAGCAGAAGAGAAATTTGCAAGCTTAATTATCCTTCCTTTTCACAAGGAGCTAAACTCAGAAGGTGTACTAGAAACAACTAACACTGCACAAAGTGACATAAACAAAAGTGTTCTACAACAATCACCATGTTCTGTTGTGATCTTTGTCGACCGTGGACTTGGATCATTATTACAAACAAGTTTGAGGATTGTTGTGATCTTCATTGGAGGACCGGATGATCGCGAAGCCTTATCTATAGCAGGGAGAATGGCAGGGCATTCAGGAATTCAATTGGATGTGGTAAGAGTACTTTTGTTAGGTGAAGCTAAGGAAGAAGAAGAAGAAGAGAACACAATGAACAATGATGCAAATGAGTTATTATGTACAGTTAGGGATAATGGGGTACAGAAACAAATGGATGATGAGTATATATTTTCCTTCAGGCACAAGGCAATGAACAATAATGAGTCAATTGTTTATTCAGAGGAAGAAGTGCATACAGCAACAGGTGAAGAGATTCCTTTACTACTCAATGAGTTAGACAAAAATGACTATGATTTGTACATTGTTGGACAAAGTTGTGGTAGAAACTCTAGAGTTTTTTCCAAGTTGTTGGAATGGTGTGACAATCCTGAACTTGGGGTTATAGGGGATATTGTAGCTTCAACAAGCTTTGGTACACGTGCTTCGTTGCTTGTTGTGCAGCAATATGATTCTGGTTCAAAGCGTAAAACTCAACATCAAAAGAAATGTCACCAAAAGAATGATGGTCCTGAGATGATGTTGTGAAACACAGATACAAAGATTAGATATTGCAGATTAAGGAATGTTTTCTATATTTTTAAGATAAATTTATATGTATATAATTCTCGTGATGTAGTTAAGTATTTGGATTCCCATCTTGTTTTTTGTACTCTATTTACTCTCAAAGGCACATAAACATAAAATGTTAGTCATACTATTTAAGATAATCCAAATTAAATACATCATGTTGCGGTTTAGTGTGGTGTGAAGTGATTCCTTTGTTTGTTCACTTCTTCCAGTTCCGCCTTTACATGGTGTTAATTTTGTAAAAAAGTAAAAATAATCATTTTAATTGTTGATAATAGTGGAGCGAGGTTATTTAACCAAAATCACTTAATTTTACACTCTGGAGTCATTTTTCAAGTTAGAAATAGGAGTGGTAAACGAGCCACGGGCTTTCAGGGCCTTTGGCTCGGCTCGTAAAGGTCTGAGTTCGTTTAATAAAAGCTCGTGTTGGAACCAGACTTAGACTTGTATAAAAGCTCGTTTAATAAAAAGGCCTCAGGCTCTTATTCAGGAGCTCGGCCTTAGAGCCTCCCAGGCTAGCCTAGTATATAAATATTTATTTATATTTTTTATACTACTTGTAATAACTCTCTCATCAATTTATTTCACCCCATTTTATTGGTTTAACAGATATATATATTGAATTTATGTATATTTATGGAATTACTAGTGCTGTTCTATATTATCCTTCATCCTCCTTCACACAAACAAACTCACAAAAACTCATTCGTTCCACTGTGCACTGCTCGTTTGTATCAATTTTTTT